TGTGACCCAAGATTGAAAAAAAATGTAACAGTTAGGGTGGTCAAACTTAACAAAAATAAAAGATGGCTCTTCAAAAATAACCATACATTGGGCCTCTCGACACTCCCAAAAAACGACTGAACACCAAGGAAAAGCCTAACACCAGGGCATGCAATGATTTTGCCTTCTTCTTCACTGACAAAATTCAGAAAAGCAGAAAAGCAGTCAGTGCCTCTGTATCCGGTACAGCAAATGTGTTGTCCCTGTGTTCACCTAAAATCAATGTAAACACCATGGCACAGTTCCATCAGATTAATGATAAAAAACCTAGACGACATTATTCAACTTCTGAAATCCTCCTCCTGCTGCCTTGATATTATTCCAACAGGATTTTTCAAAGATGTTTTTCATTGCATGGCCTCAGATCTACTTCATATAGTAAACAAATCTCTTCACTCAGGTATTTTTCCAGAGGCCCTGAAAACTGCAGCCATTAAACCGCTCTTTAAAAAAAATAATCTAGATGCTTCAGTAATGAACAATTACAGGCCCATATCAAACCTGCCATTTCTAGGTAAAATCATTGAAAAAGTTGTTTTTCAACAGTTGAGTAATTTCTTGCATTTAAATAACTGTTTGGATGTGTTCCAGTCAGGCTTTCGTCCAAACCACAGCACTGAGATTGCTCTTGTAAAGGTCTTCAATGACATCCACTTAAACACAGACAGTGGCAGAACTTCAGAACATATTGCTAGGCCGACTAGAAAACTGGGTGGGACTTTCATACTATCACCTAAAGACCATATTTAGGATTAAAAGACTAATGTCTCAGCAGGATTTGGAAAAACTTGTCCATGCTTTTATCTTCAGTAGACTGGACTACTGCAATGGTGTCTTTACAGGTCTCACTAAAACATCTATTAGAAGCTTATCAGAACCCTGCTACTCGAGTCCACACTAACACCAAGAAAATGGATCACATCACTCCTGTTCTGAAGTCTTTACACTGGCTTCCTGTATGTCAAAGAATAGATTTCAAAATACTGCTGCTGGTTTATAAAGCTTTGAATGGTTTAGGCCCAAAATACATTTCTGACCTCCTGGTAAATGATGAACCATCCAGATCTCTCAGGTCTTCAGGGACTGGTCAGCTTTCTGTCCCCAGAGTCAGAACTAAACATGAAGAAGCAGCTTTCAGTTATCTGAGACTGCCAAGGCACACNAGTTATTATGCTCCAAATATCTGGAACAAACTCCCAGAAACCTGCAGGTCCGCTGCAACTCTGACTACTTTTAAATCCAGGCTGAAGACTTTTCTTTTTGTCGCTGCTTTTAATTGAATTTTTAATGACTGATTTTAAATGCCATTTTCTTAATGTCTTTCATTTTTTGTGAAGCACTTTGAATTGCCTTGTGTTGAGAGGTGCTGTATAAATTTGCCTTGCCTTGCCTTGCCTTGCCTAACAAAACATGACTGGCATGAGGGGAGCCATTTTCCCAAAGCTAGTGAGCTGCAAAGAGAAACAAACTGGAGATGAGTCCCATCAATCTGCTCAGTCTTTCCTGCCCTCTTTATATACACACTTGCCCAATCAGGCCTGATTAGGAACACCTGAAGAGAGAAAACTGTGAGTTAATGCTACACAGGACCAGCAGGGGAGGCATTTTAGAGGATAGAAAATAACCTGAAAACATAAACTAAGTCTTTTTATATGTTATATTTGGTGTCTGATCATTTGTATTCAGATACCGTGTGAAGTTTTTCACGTATTTCAAGTGTTTTTGGGCCTTTTACATTCAGTTTGATCTTCTAATGCGAAACATATTGGATTGTCATGCATAATCTGAATATGTATTCATATCAGTTTACTATTTGAGTTGCACTAAACCCATGTAGTTTGTTCTTACCTATACATTTCATGAGGGTTGATGTTTAAACACGCTGTTTATCCAATATGGATGTCAAAACCTTGTTAAATGTTGTTGCTGAAAAGTAAGAAATGTACCTTTTTAAAAGTTTCTTATGTGAAGTTCATATGATCTTTATGAAATGAGTAAAGTTTAAAGAATGCAAGGACACAAGTAGTAAAAAGAAAATTAATTTCAAAGGAACCATTTTTTTGGTAATCTTAAGATTTCCGTCTGAACCCAACCTCTATTGGATCCAGTGATCATGTGTGTGTTTTCACTCTGAGTGAAATGTGACGACAGACATGCTGCTTTCTGAAGCCTCAGAGGAAATGAAGTGGCCTGCTGAGGCCTGGAGTGTCCTTGAAGCAAAAACACTGAATCCTCACATGTTCCACTCGCTGGATAAAGAGATCCACCTGAAACTGGTTTTATTATCCTGTGTTTGAGGAGGAAAGTAACATTTAAAGAGGATTCTTAAAATATTTGTAATATTGTTTTGTTTAGTTTACCAATTGAAACTAACTGTACTGTACACAACGTACCAGTTCTAATTAGACGGAAGCATTTAGATTTTGACATTTTTTAACTTTTCATCATCCAAATGCACTGTATATAATGCTTTTAAGTATGATATCAGTGGTGGAGGATTTTTAAAGCCAAGTTAACAATTTATTCATATAAAATTAATAACAGACTGTTATAAAGCACTTCAAATCACTATTGTTTACTACAAAGAAGCATGAACTTTAACTTTTTCCTTCTAAAAAAGTAATTGTTAGGCATTTTAATGCTGTTGCAGTCTATATGCAAACATAGTTTTTTATGCTGCATTGAATGGTTTATAATGAAACATCCTCCACTACTACTACTGTTTTTATTGTTTTGTTTGTTGACCTTTTTTTGTAACCCTTTTGTTCTAGTCTAAATGATCACTTCTGGATAAGATCAGCTTATTTCAGATAGACTAAGAGAAAAATAGAAAAGACTAAAGAGGCATATACAGTACATATAGTGAGTATGTACTTGTACGTGTGTTGTCGTACATGTGTGGAGGTGGAGGTCTTAGTATATATATCGTTGAATGCTCCTACATGATGACTGAATCGGACATGCAGGAAGTGGGGGAGTACACAAAAGCTCCTTTCCAAACCAGCACCAACAAATTGAAATATAGTGAAGGCCTCTGCGGATGAATCACCTCAGCTTTCAAAATACAAAAGACACGGAAGTGTGAATCGCAAAATTGATATGGAGGTGGAAGATGACAAATAAATACATGACACAAACACTGTTGCGCCACTTGAGCTTCAAATGTAACTGTCATACAGTACAAGTGTCCAATTAAGTAACAAAAAACACCTTCAAGATCATCAGTTAGTGCTTGAGAAAATACAGAGAAGATTCACACAGTTTGTTTCAAATATGGTTCCAAGTAGGTGTCAAAAGATATCTTATTTCTTTAAGCCAAAAAATGCATCTATTCACTGAGGGTGGCTCTCAGAAGAGCAGATAATCTATACATTTAAAAATATACAGGTAGTATAAGTTCTGTCAGAAGAAATATTCAAACAGTTTCTGAGTGTCAGCTCCACAGACAGGTCTGCTGTCCAATTAAAGCCTACTAGGTGGCTGGAGTCAGGCTTTGGATGGTCGGCACCATCGTTGGAATTACATGTGCACTGTGGGAATAAGAGTTTTTGGCAGAATTGTGGGTCAAGCTAACATTTTGCAGACATCAGCTAATCAAGCTGCAGGAAAGCTCCCTGAGATTTGAGCAAATGAAGAAGCGATAAGCAGCTGCTGTTTGTGTCTGTGATTATTCTGCTGTGGTTGTGGCCCAAATTCGGCATTTAAAGGTTGCCAATTGTTTCCTTTACGCCAGATAATTATTTTAGGAGAACACACACATTATTGGAAATATAAAACAAGGTGATCTATTAGAATGAGCCAGCATTTGTCTTTGCCAGAGTAAATTATTGACTGTATTTCATTCTTAAAGCAGTCTTTTATAGAAATAACATTAATGTGGAGTTAAAGTGGACTTTTTTGTTGTCAGCCTTGTTCTTTAAGCCTTCTTTCTACTACTATCTCTGCATAGTAGCAGGTGTGTCCGCCCCATTTCTTACACCTAGTTTCCTTGTTAAACTCTTAAATGCAATCTCACCCATTTGGGATTCAACTTTTTCTCTTTCGCTGAACTAAGATTTGCTTGATTTCCCCGTCAAGACAGAAACTTGACAGGAAAACACCCATGCTGTTTCCGTGCTGGCAGCAGACTGTTAAGTAAGCCAAAAACAATTAGCAATGTATAGGCCTAAATATAGTTGTTCAGTTGCCCAACCCTAATGGCTGGTCCATTTTCTGCATCTTTGTTGAATTTCATGAATTTTGAATCTGGACAACCCCAAGAAAAATGGCCACCATCTTGTTGGCAGTTCCCCTTAAACGACAAATGTCAACATTCAAGTAACAAAGAACAGCCAGAATTAATTAAAACCACAAAGTCCAAACACAACTTGTTGGATGACACTTTCTAAAGAGAAAATCATGTTGTAACCCTAACCCTAACCCACTCATGTGTCCCTAAACTTAGTAGTAAACAATAGTTTTTGTGCCTAAGCTTAACCAAACCATTATAGTGTTTATTAAGTAGTCCTGTTTATCGTGGAGTCAGAATAGAAAGAGAGCGTATACAAAGTCTAGTCTACTTTGTTGTTTTATTTTGGAAGGCTTTTTCTTAACCATCAATGACTCAAGCAAATTGAAAGTAAAATACCTTGTCATTGGCATTTCAGTGTGAAAACAGCTGAAGTCATTTATTAGTTTTAACAAAAATAAGGAACAAAGTGTCCTGTTTTCTGTTTCAGTGTCTTTTACTACATCAATGTGAATGTTTTCTCTGTGAGCTGCTCTCTGAAGTGTGAAACTGATACTTACCCCCTGAGGTCGGCATCATAATCCTGCCTGAACAGCTGAGATTTATAAGCACATGGCCTCTGCGCTGTTTTTACTGCCCTGAGATCTCACTGTGTGAAAATGTTCCGGGTTTTTCCTCTGATAATTTGCTGACGATGGTCTCATCCCTCCTCTTCTTGTGTTTTTGTAGAGCAGCCTGAGGTCCAGGAGTCCCGCTGGGATCTGAGAGGGAAGAATTTGGCGTCCCTGTGGTGCAGACGGACCCCTCTGTTCCTCCACAGCCCTGAAGGGACCAGCTTTTCGACTTCACTTCCAAGAACGTGTCCAACAGGGTTTTTGAGTCTTCTAGATTCCACAATTTAATTTTCCTCTTGTATTTTGGACTTGAAGTTCTGCCTTAAAAGTTAGATGAAGTTACAGCTTTATTTTCCATCCGAAAAGATTGAAACCTTTTTCAGCGTCCACCACTGGCTGAGTGTGGATTATTGAAAGAAGTCTGGTGGAGCCTTTGGAGAATTTAAATGGATGTTTGCTGCTGCTGATTTCAAAGACCTCTGGACGGATACAGCTAATTAACGTGCAGAAAGAAAGATTTGTTTAATCTCCTGCAATTTAACTCGGAACTAATTGGAGCTATTAAACAGCTTTTGGACCATTCAGTAACTTTGAAATGAATATAGACCCTTATATGAGTTGAAATGTGTTTATCTTTTGATATTTCAAAAGGGCATAATCAAGATTTTCATTAATTTTTTTACAGTGAATTTGCAGCTCTAGCACATTAGGTTTTTCCTTTCTAGAAAGGCAATTTAAACAAAAATATTTTGTTTGCCCAGTTTCTGTTCGAACGTGGAACATCCTGTAATTTATATTCTGTGGCAAGCCGTCGCTGTCACCAAGCCAATTAACCTCATCATTAACTTTCGGCATTTAGATTCTTTGTGAACCTTCTTCAAGGAAAATCATTTAAATTACGTTTCATTTATTGAGGATGCTAATGTAGGTGGTCGCACATTTTATTGAGGATGCTACTTTTTATTGACGGCCCTTCTTAAACACGACCAAGGCTGTAACTGCGAATCATATATAATATATACAGAAATGTAACAGTTTTTGTCAGTAAAGCTAAAGATTAACTTTTTTTAAATTGAAATTATTGCCATTTACCTTTCTTCAGGAAATTCTAAGGATCTTGGATATCGTTTTCTGAATAATTTCAACAAGGAAGCATAAGCCATTTAATGTCTGTGTAAAGAATTGAAAGAGCGGCCATCGTGACACAACCCGAAGTAACAGAGTATTGGATCTTATTTTTTGTAAAAAAAAAAACATTTTCACTGAACTGACTTCAAAGCATCAGTATTTAAGTCATGTGGCTTAAAAGTTGCAGACAGAAACATAAACCTCTCTTGGACTGCTCTTAACTGCTTTTGTAAGTTCTCCCCTTGGATTACAGCCCAAAGGGTAGCAATGTCAGCAATTAGATTTTTTACTGAATGTAAAAGTGACAGAATTTTGCTTATTGACCTTGGGAACACAAGCCACAAGCTTGCACAAATTAACAGCGTCTAGAGGACAACGCGTACATCCCACCCTGTGTACCTTACATAACTTCTTCCTGTCTCTGGGGGACCTCTCAGCCCTTCCTCTCCCCACCATGGTGATGTCTCAGGGCACCTACACCTTCCTGGCCTGTTTCTCTGGCTTCTGGTTGGTCTGGGCCGTTATCGTCATGCTCTGCTGCTTCTGTAGCTTCCTGCAGCGTCGGCTGAAGCGCCACCAGGAGGAGAGGCTGAGGGAGCAGTGTCTGCGAACCGTAGAGATGGAGCCGCTCGGCTGCCCCCCCACAGGATACCCGTCGCCGCCTCCTCCTCTGCCTCTTCCTCCACCCTTACAGCTGCCCAGAGATCCCCCACAGTTCTGTCCTCCTCAAACCCTGTCGCCACCTGTCCCTCTGCAGGTTCCCCATCCCATGCCACAGGCAAACTGGATCAGCATGCCAGGTAACAACAAATAATTGTATTTTTCTTTGCATACATTATAATACACATATGGATCCTTGTTTGTATTATGTTTCTTTAAGGTTGCCCTTGTTTATATTAAACCATTTTGCTATGAAATATATAGGAGGTTGAATGGTGGAGGAGGTTAAAAGAGGCATGAGGGGAAATTATTGTAAGGAGAAGGATTTCAAATGTCACCAATTTCCTGGAAATATAAGTCTTGCCCCAGTACACCAATCAAACCTCTGTACATATATACATTTTAATTTTTGTCATTGAGCTTTTACCTTGCATGGCAGCTAGTTTTCCCATTTCTCGAGATCTTAAGGAAATCATTGTTGTCAGTCTATTTATGTTGATCTGGTTGGTTAACCTTATCTTGTGATAGACGTTTAAACCCAGATTATTTATCGAATAACAAGCATTTTTTAAAGTTTGTCCTTTTACAAAAGCTTTCCAAAGACGACTTCTCGGGTGGTTCAGAACATCTAGTGTGTCAGGCTAGCTGACAGGATCAAATGGCATTAATTGAAACTAATGCTTCATTATCCTCACAAAATATTAGTTTATAGTCCTTGAAAATCACAACCTTAACCTAACCCTGCAGTGATAACTTTTTTAATTAATGTAACAACAATCTAACAATGTGTTTGCTGTGTTAAAAATAGTATGCAGGATAGGAAATAAATCAGAGAATAGAGTAAATCAAAATGTAAAACAAGTATACAACTGAAAAGAGTCAAACTATCACCTGCAGCAGTGAGTCTTTCCACTACAGCAGGTAGTAGGAGTATCCACAAGCTAACAAGCTGATAAACATCACAGAGGTTACCGTCTGATTCTGGTACAAAAACAAGCGCGGAAAGTGTTGAGGGCGGCGAATACAAGAGAGGAAGTGGAAGAAGGCAAAAACTTTTGTCTGTGGCCATCTCCTGTAAACAATACGAACCAGTGCACGCCTCAAGGAAATATTAAACCGATTACACCTTAATTGCTTTTATTTATGAAACAAATTCATATTTCATGTGTTACAACAAAAAATACAACAAAGACTGAGAAATAATGAATGAATTCACATCTATATGAGCAGTTAAGATGCAGACAGAGAGGCAGAGGACAGTAGGAGGATTTCATTTTGTGTCAGATATTTTTTAGACACTTCCCAGCTTCCAGCTCTCTGCCTGCTGAGCAGCGTTCCCCCGCGGGGCGTCATGGTGACAGCTGCCGCTGAGGCGTGGGTGGTGAATGTGGAGGCCGGGCAGTGATGGAGCGAGCAACAACAGCTAAACTATAAGAGGAACATAAAAAAAAGACGAGAAGAAAGGGACAATCAGGGAGAGTACAGGAGCACAGCTGGGCGCGAGAAGGAACAGAGAGGCCATTTTTCCCCAGGCCTCCATCTTAAAGGATGTTTTATCTCATATTTACGTTACGAGTTATTGATAAATGACTGAAGTGTTCCTTTCTAATGCAATTAGTTTTTTAAGAAATTGGACAAAATGTACAGTCGAAAATATTCTGAAGGATTCTGCAGTCTAAGTTAGAAAACCCAATGTTGTGTCTATTTTTCCGACAAATGTTAAATGCTACATACAGTAATTGTACTGTATGTATTGAGGCCTCTTAAAAGGATCAAACTGAAAAAGGGAAATCACTTGTCAATTTCACAACTTGCAACCTGGGAAGAATACAAGTAGACATTACTTTATATTTGGGGCTCATCAAGGTTGGGAACCAATGTTTTTATTGATACTACATCTAGACCATCAAGAAGAAAAGGAGTCTACTGACAGACATTGCCAGTCAAAGAACTACGGGAAGGATTCTGGCTTTGGCAAATATAGACGACGTTCCAAACTTTAGACCAACCTGCCAATGGGATTGTTGGGTGAGTTTATCCAGCTGGTGAAAAAAGCCATTCGTAACCACAACCCTAAATCACTCAAACGTTTTTTATAACAATGCAGACACCTGCAACCTGATCCACCCAGTATAAATGCTCTCTTTAAACACCACCCTGCCTTGTTCAAATATTCCATCCGGGCAGCTGCCAAACACAACCACAAACAGAGCTGCTCCACTTGTGCAGTTGGCATTTCAATGCCTTGCTCAAGGGCACCTTAAATCAGACTTGTTCCTGTCCAACATTGCAGCCCTGAGCACATCTTTCTTTCTTTTTTTAACCCAAACAGTGTGTGTGAGATATACAACATTTTAATGGAAATTCATTCATAGGTTTGAGGAACATTCTGCTTCACCCTTCTGGCAGAAGTAAACGGGAGCCAATTTTTCAAGCTTCAACCTTGAAAGCTAAACAAAGTTGCAACTGCAGCGAAAATGATTGTCAGTGCTTAGCAGTATTAGCAATGAGCAGCAGCGCATTTATTTCATATGGCACTGAAGGACCAGAAGAAAATCCTTCAAGCTACAGTATAAGCAACATTGAAGCGTTAACATGTGCAGCAATTCTGCTTTAAAAATATCAATATTATTTAATTTTGTTTAAGTCGAGGTCTCAAGTCTGTCTCGTTCCTGTAGTTGTTATTTATTGCATTAGAATGGACTAATATGCATGCCTTTTTTAAGAAGCAAGCAAGAATGAATCTTAAAATAATCAGCACAGGAACTATGACACAAAAAACAATTAAGAGAATTAATCAAAACCAATGTTGGAGGAAACCTTTTCAAATCTGTAGAGTGCTAGTAAAGTGTTGCAATGAAAGAAAGAGGGATTACTGGAGAGTAAAAGGAAAGCTGGAGTGAGTATAAGAGCATCAGCTGCTGTCAAAGATGCTTAATGAGCACAGACAGACAGTATCGGATAAAACAAAAGGTTGCTGGAGTCTTGGTCACAAAGCAGACTGATGAAGAGGTTCAGTATCCAGGCAGCAGCCGAGCTAAAAGGGAAGCAGGTGCCGACCAGCTGAGCACAACAGAGGCTGGAGAGGGAGAAGCCGGAGCTGTTTCATTAACGGAGAGAGAAAGAGAGGCGTTGAGATGGTGAAAGTGCTGAGTTTCCATTTACACCTATTCGGATAGCATTAGAGATGATGGTGGAGAGAGAGATGAGAAAGGACAAGAGGGGTGAAGCCCCCAGGAAGAGAGCCGCCTTGGAAGCAAATTTCAATAGCGGTCAAACTTAGTGTTATAATGTACGTGTTTGTCATGTGATGCCATAGGCCCAACAATATTTTGTATTGGAAGCGGTTGAACTGTCAAGAATGCCATTGCCGTAATCTATTCTGGATTTAATGAATGCGTGGATTAGTGTTTCAAAGGCAGTGACAGAGAGGGAGGTTCAGACGCATGCAATGTTTTGAGGTGGAACAAGGCTGTTTTTGTGACATGGTTTACGTGAGGTAGGAAAGTGAGGCTGGGGTCGAGGATGATGCCAAGGTTACAGATGTAAGTTGAGGGGTTGACAATTAAGCAATCGATGTTCAGTGAAAAATCCTGGGAGGAGCGGGTAAGTGAGTTTGGTCCGGTGATGATTATTTTTGATTTGTCACAGTTCAGTTTGAGAAAGTGTTTTGCATCAATTTTTCAATCTCAGTGAGGCAGTTGGTGAGTTGGGAGTGTGTTGGTTGCAGAAATAGATTTTGTAGAAAGGTAAAGCTGGGTGTCATCAGCATAACAGTGGAACCGGAGTTGGTGGAGACAGAGGATTTGTCCAAGTGTGAGGATGTAGATGATAAAGAGCAGGGGACCAATTACAGAGCCCTGGGGGATGCCGTTGGTGACTGAAGCAGTGGAGGATTTGCAGTTGTTGATGGAAATTAATTGTTGTCTTTCAGAGAGATATGATTTAAACTAGGAGAGGTTTTCCCATTGACTTGCATTTGAATCGCTCAATGGGCCTAATGGATGCGTAAGATTGCTGAAAGATATAGGAAAGATCCAGGTATTTTTGTTAAAGCCAGGCCATATTGCTTTTGCACCACGTATCTTTTTTTATAGGAATGAACGGGGCTTAGCCTCCAACGATGTATCCAGTTCTCCAATGCATCCATGGGTGGAACCTAAAGGGATGTTTGTATTGTACCTTTAATCAAGCGCTGTTTTTATTTTTGTTCTAACAGAAGCAAGTAACACTGTACTCACCTCTATGGCATTTCATTGTGCACTTGTGGCATCAATGAGAGAATTTACTGTAGTGCTGACTTGTCTATTCAGCCTATTTTTAATAAATTTGAAATAGAATTTAGGCAGAATTACTTTTATTGGACATTGGTTGGACTTAAGAGATATTTCCGGTCAAAGTTGGATGAATAGTTGCAAACGGAAACACTGCACTGCATACATGCTCACACTGTGTTTGGTGCTTTAAACAAAAGCCTTCTGATCCTCCTGCTGGATACATCCGTCCCATGTGTTTCTGCGTGCTGGCAGCTGGTAGTATTGTTTTACAGCAGAAGCACATGGACGGGGGAGTTAGGACAACAATGACAGTGGATCCTGTAGGTATCTGTGAGGCATGATGGAGGAGTGATGGATTCTGGCCGAGTACACACACACACATACACAAGAACACACACATTTGCATCTATAAATACATACAGCTCCATGGCAACAGTTCAATAAACAGCTGTGGATTTGTACCACTGTGATGTTTGTTGTATTGCCTGTAAACAGGTTCGGGCTATGGGTTTGTTTTGTTGCTGTTGGGATGCTGGAACTCAGGATAATTTACATTAAAAAGTGATCAGTAACAATGAAATACGAAAACAATTAAAACATGAAACCTGAAAGTAGATGAGGGACAAAATATTTGGCCCAAGCATAGACTGTATTCAAAAAGTGGCCGCAGCCACCAGGATACCATTTTGAAGCCTTGAGTTTGGCATTTTAGCCACAGTTTTCTTATTTATTTTGTAACTAGAAGTGACCATATTTGGAGAAGAGGGCAAGTCCTCATGCCATGTCATACACTGTGAACGCTCAGTGTGTGAATTTGGAACGTTTAGTCAAAATTCAAACAACAAAAGAAAGTTAATTGACATTTCAATCCAGCCTACTAGCTATCACATCAAATGTTGGGAAAACTTGAATGGAGTTTAAGAGGTAAATTAAGCATTACTCTGAAGCAGCAGGAGTAATACATCATCTCTTTAGTGGATAGCCTAACATCAAAATCAGGCTTCAAACTTTCTTTGATTCTTGCACATATTCCCGAATATATATTTCCGAATTTCCAAAATAACTTCTGCGAGAAACTCAGGAGACTAGATAATGTTAAAGCAGGAGGAGAGCTTGTGCAACATTTTGAGAAATATTTATTAGGATCTGGACAAATGTATCAACATGGACAAAGAAACTGGCTCCAGGTGTTATGAAACACTGTTTTGAGATTGATGTCTGTTGCCAGGTCCCATTTCTTTCTGACTCTTTGTCAGCTAAGAGGTATTTTAGAAATGTTGCAGGAATTAATGCGTTTTCCTTAAATATCCTATTTTTGTGCTTATATTTATCTTAAGAACATTTTCTTTAGTTTTTTGCTTAACTGTCACATTAATGTCAGGTAACGCCTTGCTAAAATACCATTATTTAAGCTACACCTGAATTTGAACAATTGAGGACTCCGCTTTCTGTTGTTTCGAACAAAGGTCTTAAAATCATTTAAAAGAACAAAATAAATATCCACTAACTTACGTCAGCTGTAGCAACCGCAATGTCTCCAAGCAAAACGAGTCTGTTGACTATGAATCCTGTCTTGGTGCACCCTAAAAGCATCGTGACAGCTGAAATACCTGAAAAAACTGACAATGTCAAAATGTCTTCTTCTTCTTCTTCTCTTGCTTTTGGCGGGTTGCAAACAACTTAAAAGGTGCATACCGCCACCTACTGTACATGAGTATGCATCATCACATCATTCCAACTCATTAACCTATGTTCTAATCAAGATAAAATAAAAAATAAATTAATAAAACCATTAAATAAATAAAACAAAACAAAACAAATCTATGTTCTTTCCTGACCTAATGTTAAATTCTTTTTCCTACCCCAGTTTCACTCAAGAATTTAAACAGTGCCTTTCTGGTAGCTTTTACTCCCTCTCCTTTTGTTCCCAAAACACCAACCACACTCCACTCCCTCTCTGCCTCTAAGACTTTAGCCTTTAATTGTTCTCTTTCCGCTTTATAGATGTCACAATTTAACAATATATGTTCTACATCTTCTTTTACTGCACAGTTCCCACACTTGTTACTGTTACTTTTCCCCATGATATACAGCGTACTATTCAAAGCCGTGTGATTTATTCGGAGTCTAGCCATCATGATTTCCTCCCTTCTGTTTCTTTCTTTATGAATATGAATTGTAATTGTATTTTGTACTTTGTGATAGTCCTTGCCTTTCTGGTCTTTCTCCCACCTTTTCTGCCAGATCTCCATCCCTTTCTTCTTAATGACTGCTTTTCCTTCTCCTTTACCAAGTTGAACTGGTAATGTTATTTGCTTTTGTAGTGCAGTTTTTGCTAATCTATCAGCACACTCGTTCCCTTTCACCCCCTCATGTGCAGGCACCCAGCAGAACTGCAGATCTATGCCGCTTCTGTGCAGTCTTAACAGGCTATGATTCAGTTCTATGAGAATGTCTTCTCTAGTAGTTGTTGTTGATTGTATGCTTTGTAATATGGACAATGAATCTGTACATATAACCACCCTATCTGGTCTGACCTCTTCAACCCACTACAATCCTATTATTACAGCAAGCATCTCCGCTGTATATACTGATAACTGATCAGATGTTCTTTTTAAAATAGATATTTTAAAGTCTGGGATGTATATGCCAACTCCAACACGCTCTTCCTTGTTCTTAGAGCCATCTGTATAAATTTGTAGGTAATTGTAGTACTTTTCGTTCAGATACATACTTGTTTTAATTCCCACTTCATTTATTTGCCACTCTTTTTTCCTTTCTATGATATTCATATCTATGTTAGCTTCTGGGAACAGCCATGGGGGAATACTGCTAAATGGAGTTGCTTTGGTAAACGGGATATTCTCCACTCCATATGCCCTCGTTCTTTCCTTACTCGTCCAGCCAAACCCACGTCCCTGGAATTTTGCATATTCCCAGCAATCCTTTAATATTCTGTTTGTAATATTTTCTTCTCCACTACCTTGTAGTCTGACCCAGTATGACACGTGTCAAAATGTCTGCCTCAGTCAAAACATTTCACTGAGGAGTTCTCTAATGGGTTGCAAATGTGAACTGATTTGAGCTTCTCAGAGAGCTGCTGACGAGTGTAATCAGCAGCAGGTGCGAATGGTTAAATCAGAAGAGAACAAGTAAGAAATCTGCAACTGCCCAGAAAATGTTGCGCCATTGCTTTTGTTTGACAAAACAAAAATCTAAACAGAATACATTGTGCAGAAGAAAACAAATCAAGACAAGAATAACAAAATAAGTAATTTCATGCGGTTATTTTCAGAGAGCCTCCGGTAATTATCTTTATACAAATAATTTGCAACAGGAAATGATTTGTATAAACATAATGCAGATTAAATAACATTTTCTACTTTCTAGTACAACATTTATTATCTGCTCTGTCAATTATTTGTACTGTCCATTTTTGACTTCAGTTTGCAACACAGACTTAGAACAACTACTGACATTTATAGTTTTTCTGCTAAAGTTTCCTTCTTATCTAACTTACAAACATGAACACAGCCATCAAACAAACATTCACCATCATCTAACCACAGACGGACAGAAACATTACAACCACCCCCTTGCATTTACTCAGTAATTCACTCAAAAAATGATCCTGCTGAAATCTAAATATTTCTTATGACATCATTTGATGTTTGTACCATGCATCTGACTGGAAAGATTGCATAGGACACACGTGGAAAAAGCTGATGACAATCATTCTGCACCAAAATACTTTGGACATTTGTTGTATTGCAAACCTACTTGCAAACTTGAATAAACAATCAGGAAGCAGGGTTTTGAATCTGTCATTATTTTAAGCCACACTTGCAAACATAGCTATTGAATGTATGTCGACAGGGTGTCTTTAATGGCTGCTATCAAACATCTGATAAAATGAAACTAGGTACGTTTGAGTAAAACAAATGTTGAAATGTCAAACCACGCACCAACACTGTCTTTGCATCATTTACCCATTCATGACTGGCTTACAATAAAAGTAAAGGCAATTTTAGACACTCGTGAATCTACGTCATCACTGACATTTGATATGGTTTTGTTAGCAAAAACATCTTATAACGCGACTTAGATGCTGTTTACTCAGTACCCCTAGAAATGATGCGTCAGTCTTCAGTGAGAAGCAGAAAGATGGAAAACAAGTGCGCCTAAAATAGGAAGGAGTGAAAGAGAAAAATGTGTGAGAGAGATATAGGGACACAGAGCTTGGACCAAATGTGCTGTGATGCTTTTTGTTCACACTACTGAACAAATTGCCACACTATCACAGTAGGAAGTAGTTTATCATAATGTTTTGGGTTGTGACTCCTCACTGCAAAATGGCATACATTGATCATAAAAAATGTTTTACTATATAGTCCTTTATAGTTTTCCTTCTGCTTTGCACCAGCAAAACCTGTACATGTATTATTGTCTCAAACTGACTTATTTAAATGTACATTAAAGAAATATAATGTTGAGCTTACCCAGTGTGTTAAAAAGAGATAGCAAGGGGTCCTGTACAGCCTTTGCGACCATTGGTGCTGGGTGATATTCAAGTTTGATAACTTATTTCTTTTATATGGAAATGTATCCAGAGAAGATCATATTTTGAGATATCATGACACCCATTACCCCTTCTGAATTAATTTGAACAACAACACTCAAATCACTTGGAAGATTGCAGTTTTGTTTTTAAATGTTGCCCTCAAGTTTCCAATAAATAGTTCAGTACATTACATTTGTCGGTGAATTACCCTGGGACTTTTCAAAGATATATTTATTTGACCTATATCAGGAGATAAGATTCTATATTTCAAACTCTAGTGACGAGTCGGGAGTTTTGCGTTTAATCCAGTATCCTATATTTTCTTTTACAGACACAGACGTATTTGGGAAGCCGCCCTGCTATGAGGAGGCAGTTCTGATGGAGGACCCTCCCCCACCCTACAGTGAGGTCTTGTTGGACCCGCGGGGAGGCACCTACCTGAAGCCCGTCCCGCCCCGTGCTGCGCCCCCACAGCCCCCACCCATTAGGGAACACCAGGATCCAGCTCCGGTGTTCACAACGGAGACCAGCAAGCCTCCTGTAGCGGCCGTATTCCCTGAGCGAGGTTACTCCTCCCTCATTCGCCTGCCTTCCTCCCAGCGCTGGGACTCATTGGGTCATCTCTTATCCAACATGGACCTGAACCACAACAACCTCACGCCGCCGGGGGCACGCTCCATCCAGGCAGCTGCCATGATGGCGACCATGCCCCGGAGAGAGCCCAGGACTCAACATGGGCTGCGAGGGGGGATTCAAGGACTCCAAGGAGGCATACAAGAACTCAGTGGAGGGATACAAGGACTCAGTGGAGGGATACAAGGACTTCAAGGGGGGATTCAGGGGCTTCAGGGGGTTCATGGACTAAGGGGACTGGAGCCCAGTTGCGGCCTGCCAACAGCCTTCCCTCTTCTGGGTCGTAGCACCGCCGTTTAGACCTTGATTATTAGAAAAGAAGTCTTAGTAACCAATGAGTAGGTCTATCTCTAAAGAGCCTTCAAGCAGGAGATCTATAAAGACGCCTCCTTTGCTGCTCAGTGTTTACACCACTAACAGCGCTAGTAGTAGAGATGTAATCCCCTGAAGATCTAAAGGAGTGTTAAAGTGCTGCGAAAGGCGTCAGGAGTTCAATTCCCCAGGCAGCTCTGTTGCTGGGATCATGGCTTTTGGCTTGGAGTAAAAGAGCAAATTAAACACAACGTCTCGCACCAGTGTGGTTGAGTTACAGAGGCATGCTGGTGTCACAGTAACGATGACTCTTTCAAACAACAGAGAAGGAGAAAAAAAAAAAAGGATGAGTAATAATTCCAAAGGATGAGCAACAAGCACAGCTGCTTCTCCACCTTTCATCCTCCATTTTCTTATCTCCCTTTCTTTGTGTTCATCCCGGTTCTCCTCTCGTTTCTCTGTGCCGAAACAACCTATTGTACCAGCCTGCCGTTGCCATGGTTCCCGGGAACTGTCTGTTGCTCACGTCGACCTCTCCTCTTTTATCCGCACGGAATTTCCGAAAGACTCTGTTCACAGCTCGTCTCCTCTCAAGGACTGCAAGTATTAACGGTGACAAAAGAGCGTGTGAGCCTTCAGTGTGGAGTCGGCCACCATGTTTGTGACATTAAAGCCCCGAAGGCCAGTTTTTACACCGACAGACAAAACAAACAGAGTACAACAAGCTCTCCAGAGAACCAAGCCTACTTGGACTGCATTTTGTAACATGCTGCGTTGTTGTTTCTAATGATGTTACTGCAAACTGTTGCGGTTTGGCCTCAATCTGGTAGTCTGGGCCCTTTTGGTGGTCGCAAAATGGCGACGTCTGGGTCATTTGAGTGAAAAAACAAAATGTTTTCATGTACAAATGTTACTATCATTCTCTTAAGCTTTGTGACAAATGCTCGAATTGCTCTTCAGAAATAAAAACATCTTCACATGCTAGGCTTCTTCTAATAATTTGTGGAATTAAAAGAACAATATGGGATCAGCTAATTGTGTTTTTTTTATTCAATATTAGATTCTTCTTCAGAGCATCTTGACATCAAAATTAAAGTTTTTAACTTCAGTACTTACAGTGATAGATTAAAATACAGCGAACATCAATTTAGCAACTCTGTTAGTCATAATCTTCTTTAGAATCTGTACCATTCAGAATTGCTACTTTCATTTACAATCAAAAGGGGCATAAGAGATGTTCTCGAGCCTTCACTTCCAGACATCTTAAGTTTCCAAAATTAATCAGATTATCACATTCTTTTTCCTCTGCTTCTCTCAGCTATAAATTCCTTCTCAACGTCGGCCTCTGCCAATCGGGAAAGCCTTAAATGTAAATTGTGAGTTTCCGTTTCTCTCCGACTCCCTCAGTTTCTGAGTCACTCTAACCTTTCCTCACCTCCTCCTTTTATTACCCTTACTATCTCTTTCAACATTTAATTTTTTACTTCCATCTTAATCATCATCTATCTCCAACTGTCCTTTGTGTTTTCCTTTGTCACTGATGTATTCTAAGGCTACCGCTTCTTTGATGCAACATTGAGAAACGAGGAAATGGAAACAGCCACTTTGCTGCCACTCATCTCCCGTAAAGATGCTTTACAATTTACGAAAAAAATTCTGCCTTTTTATGTGCTGATAACAAGGCTAGTAATTCACTTCATCAAGGCATGTCACTCACACTCAGTAGTGGATGCGACAGTCTTCTCCGAAACACTTGAAGTGATATTTAAAAAGAAAACAAGCTTAGTGTTTTTTTTAAGTTGAATTACTATTCACAAAAGCTTGAAAAAGTGTGTTTTGCTTAAAAAAGTTGAAGTTAAAATATAAGAACTACGAGTTTCCCTTTTCCTTACACATCAGGTATTTTATTAAGGCAGATGCTATTTGACTGGTCAACAATACATTTTGCTATGCTATGTACACCCGGGTGACTGTAGTCAACAATGCTATGTACACCTGGGGGACTATAGTCAACAATGCTATTAACACCCGGGTGACTGTAGTCAACAATGCCATTTGCACCAGAGTGCAGACACACACTTTTATTAAACCTGATAACTGTGATTCACAACAGATTGACAGCAGTGGCTCACAAAGGTACCATGCAGTTAATGTTTAGTGGAAAATCAAATACCCTGCTGTTTGAAGGCCCACTGGTCATTTTTTGTATGTGTTGTACTAAAAGGTTCCACCAGGCTATAATAACAGGTAATTTAGTTTTGTAGAGTTCTAAGTGTTTTTGTCTGTATTGTAATAGTCATATCCTGAGATCGATGTTTCCTTCTGGTCTTAAGAGACAACATATATTGGTGATTTTGCATCAGATTTGAAAAGTTAAACACCTGTTTCAAATCATAAATGATGTGGCCTTGGAGGACATTCTTCTCCACTTGAAGAAAATAGTTGTGCGGCGGCAGCAGTTTTCTACCCACTACAGAGATCACCAGTTATGAACTTCACATTTCAACCTACAAGAACATTGAAAGCGAGAGCGACAACTACAGCATTTGGTTTAAATGTCATATCCTTTCAGCCTTTTCCTGCAGCCACAAAATAATGGCAATAATGGTTTTAAATGATCATGTTCAGGTTATTTTCCATGATGCAGTGCGCGAGAGTAATGTGTTATGTTCGATAACTATTTGATTTGATTTATATTGAGTTCATAAACATGCACATTTGCTGCGGTGATTCTAATGGTTAAAGGTAAAATATACTTTGAAATGACATTTCCTCTATTACTTATTGTATTATTATTGTTGAATTGACTTCCATCTCTATCAACTATGCCCCATCATTTGGGTTTGTGTGAATATAGCTTACATTACAGATATGATAGTATAGGCCTAGTTCATTACAACAGCAGGGCATGAAAAGAATGTAATTTACCCAGAAAAGGGAAGTTATCAGTCAATAAATACTGCAGTGCTTTGCTTCTTTCAACTACGACTACACACCTTCAATCAAACAACGCCAAGGCCTCGACAAACACAGATATCAGATTTGCTGTATTTTTTTTCTTTCTTTTTAAATCGGTTATTTTGTCAGAAAATATCTTCCTGAAAGTAGAATTAGTGCAGAGAAAACTTTTTTTTAAAACCCAACAGCAGTCTACGACATGAAATTATTATTGTGTGTCTTTATATATTTCTATGCGTGCCTAAAATATTATAAACTCTGAGGTTGGTAGTCCTCAAAAGCTGTAAGGAGGGCATTGATTTACAAAAAAGAAAAAAAAGGTCATGACATTGATGACAAAATTAGGAACCAGTTTCCTTGGCAACAATCCGACAGTTTGTCAGCGTGACTCCTCCTGCTGGCCCGGGATGACATTTTTCCACCCAACAGAAAGACAAAAACACGAAACAAAAAAACGACACCACTGAGATTTTTCTCCTGACTCGACTGTCTAATATCAGAACTGGGATGGCATCTGTGAGAGAACGTGTTGCCTGGCAACCTGCTCAGCCATGTTTGTGAACATGTAGTGAAGAGAAAAGAACATCAGTCCACTCCAACACTCATCGTCCCGGCAACGGCTGAGCATTTTTTTTACATTACATTACATGTCACTTGTTAGACGCTTTTATCCAAAGCGACTTATAGGCTACTCAATACTGTGGGCAATCCACACAGGAGCAATTTGTACCACATTGTACAACTTTTAGACGCTAATGATTTAAATAAGGGCTATATAACGGATTTATGAGCCATATGTGTACTGCTTATAATGTTATAATAATTTGAACAGCTGGTTGCAGGGATTAGCTGCTGCTATAATAGGATAAAGGAAGAGCGAGATCAAACCATACAAGACGTGGCAGATGCTAACAGCTACAACAATTTGGTATTGTACAAGTAGGCCTACTGCCCTACTCTTAAATAAACAACAAACTACACTGAATCCAACGGCCAGAAATCACCCCTCGCCTGTTAAATAACGGCAAACGGAATATATGAAGAAGCAATACGTAAGACATGGTTGCCAACTTTGGGTAGCCTACCTGGCTGGAGTGAGATTTTTATATCATGGGTTTGATTACACATATGCGCACTAAATGACTGCTATCGTGTCAGCAGCGGGACCTTAGCATATATACAGGATATATATATACACAGGGTTGCCAACTCTCACGCATCTGGCGTGTGACACACGCTTTCACTCTCAATCTCACGCTCTCACGCTGCCCAAACTATTCTCACGCCAAAAACAAGAATACCGAAGACTAGAAACGGTTTTTAACACTTTTGTCACGTAGTGATCGTCTTCTCAATAGAACATCTTTGATAATGTCTTCTGGCCAATCAGAATCAAGATAACGGCGTTGTTGTTGCAGGAAGTCCCGACGGAGAATACTTTTTGCTGTAGTACATCTCGATATACATCGGTACAACTATAAGACCCCACGGTTTGATGATTGATAGGTGTGTGGGCTGTCTTTCATTTTTGACACACAGAACAATAGGGGCTATCCACCCTTGTCCACAATGTAAAGTAATTCACACAGCCTCTTCTCTCAGTGAGGA